GGGGGGGGGGGGGTGGGGGCGGTTTGTGGAGGGAGGTTGTCGCGCAGGGCAGCTGTCACATGGGGAGGGGCCGTCAGGGCGGGCAGCAAGGGGAGGCGGGCGCTGGAGGGTCCCCTCGCCCGCGAGGGCGGCTGCGGGTACGCCGCACAGCGCGCCTGGCGCAGGAGCTAGCCGTGCAGGTGCTGGGGGCGCCCCTGCCCGACCCAGGGTCCCATACTCGTTTCAAACCGTTTTGTTTGCCCCCAATCACGGACACCACGTTGCTGATGACGCGCAACACACTTGCCCCCGCCCTGTCAGTTTGAGCTGGAGCGCCGTGCGCGCATTGAGATGAACGAGATGGCCTCCATCGTGGCGCGGTACAGGTGGGTGCGGGGGGGGGGGAGGGTGTGTGTGTGTGTGTGAGTGCATGTGTGTGTGGATGGGGTGCGAACTGTCACAGTTTCTGAGGATGGGGGGCCCTCTCATCTGCGAGGGTAGCTCTTGCCATGGCGCAGCCTGAAACTGGGAGGGTTCAGCGACACAACACAGGCTCGGTGTGCAGGAAGGGAGGCGTGGGCGGCCAGCTGGCCGCGCCTGGCGCGGGGTGGCTGCTGCTCGGCTGGCCGGCTGCCGGCGGAGGCAGGCATAGATGCAGGGGGCATGCAGCAGTAGAGCAATGCGACCAACAGTACCACGCACGTGTGCACGCGCGCACACGGCACCCGTCCTCTCAGGGGCCCCCTCCTTGAGTCTGCTGTTGACCTCGAGCAGCGGCTCTGGCACGTGCTCACGCGCACCGGGGAGTGGACCCCCGGGGTTGACGCGCTGTGCTTTGAGGAGATCAGCTACACCATGTACACCGTAGCGCAGGTGGGCAGGGTGGGACACACAGGGTTTCAGGCTTCATGAGGGTCATGGTGGGTATGACAGGGAAGAGAATGTCTGCTGCTGTGTGTGCGTGTGTTGGGGGTTTCATTGGAGACAGTGAAATAGACAAGACCGATTCTTTCTGGTGTGAGCACAGCCCGGCGGAGCGGGTCGGTGGTGCTACGCCGCTGATGCTCTCCCCAAACAGGGTGCGCACCAGGTCTGACCATGCAGAAAAGCACCCACAAGTCCACAACACCCCCAGTCATGCGCCTGGGCCCCATACCCCTTCCCCCCCTTTCCACCCCGTCCCCACCGCGCCCTCTCCCAATTGCACGC